GACAGCTCATGATTTGTTCTAGCTTTGTGATATTGGCATAATTCCTATCCATTCTATCACTCATTTTCCCCATTTAAAAATGGAGCTAACAGTCCTATCTCATAGGGTTGCTCTGAGGATTAAATAGGATAATTTGTTTAAGTGATCAACACCAGTGCCTGGCACTTAGTAAGCTCTTGGTAAGTGGTAGCAGTAATTTGATGATGATAATGATCATTTTGGGAAGAAGATATGGATGGAGCAAAGCTGTGGGTGGTAGTTTGAATCAAAAAGATGACTAATACGCTGAAATGATGTGCTGAAACCATTAAGATTTAATGGTTCAGATTTAATTTTAAGACTTAAAATTTAATGGCATCAAATATGAAATCCTGCCTATGCGTTTTCAAAATTTCAAAAAAAAAGTTCACGGCTTACAAAAAAAGAGAGAAAAGACCTGATTTTGGCTGAAATCAATTTGAATAGAATCTAAGGGGTTTCATTGACCACAAAATCATAGGAACAAACAAGAAGTCCCAGCTGCTCTATACCAGGGTCACTCTAGCTGGTCTTCAGAGAGGTATAGTGGCCATAGCTCCTCCAACTGCACATTTCCCCTGAGCTCTGGACTGGTTGGGTTTGGGGAAGTTAAAGGATTGTTTCCATTTCTAATTCTTATATTTTGAAGTCACCCATGACCCAGTTACTAAAAGAGGTGAGAAGTTCTGAAGACTATGTCACTTGAGGAACTGGAGGTATTTATCCTGGAAAAGATGGGTATAGAGGAGATATTTTAACCATCCTAATGTCCAAAGAGTTACTTGAAAAATAATCAGATTCTGTTTTGTTATGGAAGTTGTAAGTGGATTTTTGATAAGGATTCCTAAAGAGAATGGAGTAGGACAGAATGATAAAAAGGCAAGTAAAATGTGGAGGAGGTCAGATTGTTAAGGGAAGACAGCTTCTGATGACCACAGGACTGTAGGTTTTTTTAAAAAGATTTATTGAGGTATAAATTACATATATTAATAGTAACATATCTTAAGTGTAGGGAGGGATGATTTATCTCTTGTATGTACACCCAGGTGACTACCACCCAGATGAAAGATAGAACTTTCTGTCATTTCAGAAGGTTGCCTCATACCCCCTTCCATCCAATAACTGCCCTCCAGCCCAGAAGTAACCACTTTCCTGACCTCTATCACCCTATATTAGTTTTGCAAGCTTCATGCAACCACTTTGGAACATTGTTTAGCAATTTCCAATGAAGTTAAACAAACATCTCTACCTTCTGATCCAGCAATTCTATTTCCAGTTGAGTATCCAAGAGAAATGAGTTTTGGGTTTTTTTGAAAAAAGCTTACACAAGAATGGTCACAGGAACTTTATTCATAATAGGCCAAAGCTAGAAAACAATCTGAATATCCATTAGCAAGAGAATGTATAAACATATGATATAGCCACACAGTGAAATACAATACAGCAATGAAAAAGAACAAAGTACTGATACATGCTGCACAGAGATGCATCTCAGAACCTTCATGCCAAGTGAAAGAAGCCAGACACAAAAGAGTACATACTCTCTGATTCCATTTGTACAAGTCCAAGATTATAGATTTTAATGAAAGACTTTCGTAACAATTTGATTTTGTATGCCTAAAATGCTTGGGGAAATTTCTTCTCCTTTCAGAAAAGGACTTGTATGAAACAAAAGATGGCAAAGAAGTAGAAGAAAAATTAAATTAATGCCAGCAGTTCAGCTTTGCTTAAATGAGAAACATTTATTTAACATTCCTTGTTTCTGCAGTGAGTAATGGAATTATGTGATATCTCATTATTTCCTTTCCTTTTGTTTCCTCCTTGGATTCTAATTCTTAAGAGGACTTTCTGGCAATAATGGTAGCTGAACGCCACTTACAAAAGACAGAAAGGCACTGCAGAGTTAAAGTCTGCTCATACAAAATCAGACTAAAAATGATTCTGAGTCGCTTCCTCAAAATAAAATTTCTGAATAAATACAGGCAGTATTGGAAAGCAGATGACTTGTTATTCTCTGCTCAGAACTTCTGATACTATCATTTCTTCACTACTGGTAGCCACTCTATTCATCTTATCATTTTACCCAGTTCCTTAGTGATAAAAGCACGAGATCATAGTAGGCAGACGAAATTATAGAAAACGGATTGGTGGTCACCAGGGGACATGTATGAGGAAGGACAGGGAGGGTATAAACATAAAGGGGTGCCACGAGGAAGTTCCTTAGCAGTAATGGAATAGTTCTGTATCCTGATGGTCGTGGTGGCTACATGAATCCAGATATGGGGTAAAATTACGTAGACATGCACACTTGAATGCGTGTAAAAATGGCAAAAAATGAATAAGGTCTGTAGTTTGCTTAATAGTACTGAAGCAATGTCAATTTCTTGGTTTTTGTTTTTATACTACAGTTATATAAGATGTCACCATTGGGGGAATTCACAGGACTCTATGTACTCTTTTTACAAATTCCTGTAAGCCCATAATTATGTCAAAATATTAAGTTTAAAAATTATAATAGGGAACAATGACCAAGCCTCAGCCTTTTTTGAGGGCCCGGGGGTGGGGAAATGAACGAAGTAGTGCTCATGGGGTAAGCGGCCTATAGTAATTAGCTTTCTCCTTAGGGTGCATATGTGGTTTGTATTAAAAGTGAGCCAAAACACCAGCTCCTGCCTCTACTTTAGATGTTAAGCAGTTATTAGATTAAAATATGGTTAAAGAGGTGACTTTCCTGTGGCAGGCACTCTGCAGATGGAGCACACTAACTTTCACAAGGTATATAGGTATATCTGATAGATGCACAGGCTGACAGCACTTTATATGATAAATTCTCCCTTTGCCTTTTCTGTGTCTGTATTTGCCCATGAACTTGCTTCCGACAATTTGTAGAACAGACTTCTTCCCTCTAGCATCATTGTCATCTTTTAAAAATTCAGTTATTACACATATAAGAAACTTTGGAAATACAGATAAACAGTAGAAAAGAATGCCTATAATCCTACCACCCAGAAACAAACACTCTTGATATAGTATTTCCCCCATATCCTCAGGATACATTCTAAGACCCCTGTTTTTTCCTGTAGGTACATACCTATGATAAAGTTTAATTTATAAGTTAGGAATAGTATGAGATTAACAACAATAACTAATAGAATAGAACAACTATATAGTAACAATATAATTAATAAAAGTTATGTGAATGTGCTGCCTTCTTATTCCACTTATCGCACACACTGTGGCCATAACTTTTGCAGTTTGATGTGCAGCAGCAAAACTAACACAAATTTCTTTTTCCTTGTTCACAGTATCACTAGTAGATTTGTTCTTACTGTAGATCTTAGCAACGTCAGTGTACGATGCTTTTCCTTTCCTTACTAAGTGGAGAACTTTCACCTTTTCATTTAAAGGAAGCACTTTACGGCTTCTCTGTG